GGGAGCGCCGCTGCGCTTCCCACGCGGCGCACTATCCAGTGCGCCACCGGGCCGGCCCTTTCCATGAACTTTTTGAAGACGCCTTGTATAGAATAGTGACACAGATATTATGTAGCTTTATGATTTTATAGTTTGCATTTCTTTTCATCTCTTAATTATTAAGAGTTTTATGAAGGTTCTAGAGGGATGGTGGGTTTTAAAACTAGACAGACCTAGTTTGTAGTACTCCCTTAGTCACCCATTATTGGCTTTCTTTAAATTCTCTACTTCTGGGATTTTAAGTAAATTGTCTTTTGTTATATGTAAAGTAGGAGTAATAATTCATACTTCAGAAAATAGTTATGGATCAAAAGATATAAACATCCAGTATGTAAATAGGGACTTTACATAAATAGACACTATTATGGTTGAGCATATGGTTAAGTTTTTCAATTATTTTCGGCAAAACCAATCTAAGACTAGAACTATTTTGGTGTTCTTTCATTGTTTTATAGCTTTCGTGATTTAATTTCAATATTGTCCTACTGCTTTAAAATTAGAACCAATTTAAAGCAGAAATTAGATAATCAGTTAAAAGGCTTTATGCTCCATGTCTACTATCACCCCTGGTGTAATCTGAAGGAATCGATATTTCCTTTGGGAAATGGTCAATGATAGTGTTGTTTTATTGCAATGAAGCTTTTATGAAATAGCCTAAGGATAAACATCTTAAACACTATATTAGGTTATGATGAGGTAAATTCTTATAGGAATGAATCTTAGAGCTGGGCATCTACCATTGTTGTGGAAGATATGACTTGGTAGCAATTATTAAAACTATAACCCAAGCTATTATACTTTGGAATGATTATAACATATTAACAAAAAAAGTTGTTGAATGGTAGTTAATTGTAATTGTTTTGGTCTTATTTATATGATCATAAAATTGAAATTGTTTTTAATCCTGTGTATTTATGGTTTAGAAAACTTTTATGGGTATAATAACTTATCTTTTTAGTTTTACAAACAAAACAACCATTAACTATATTCATCTTCCTGTATTTGAAGTGCTGATTAGTGTGATAGCCATTTTTTTTATTGAGGCATTTGTCATTTGAGACCAAATTAATCAATTATTGAAAATTAATCTTTTAATTATAAATCACAATCATAAAATTAATCATAAGAATAATATATTAAACTTTTAGAGATCACTCCTTTTTATATATTTCTGTCATTCAGTGTTATTTCTCTTTTTTCTCCCCATAGGGTTATCCCTGTCAAGATGATTATTTAATAGTATACAGAAAATGCCATTCTCAGTTCACAGATCTAAATGGTTCCAAAAGATTTGGCATCAACACTTGGCATGATGAAAGTGGGATTTATGCTAATTCAAATGTAAAACAAAAGCTCCACTTATTGACCAGTGGTCCTATTGTCCCCTTTTGCAACTAACATGTGGAATCAGATTCTCTGACTAATGAAAGAATAATGGATGTAACAGTTAATTATCTTCTACCTTAATAAATGCAATGGAAGTTTTACCATAGTCAGTTCCTTTAAACACAAAATCTTACATTCTAGACCAGTGTTTTATATTCTTTTCATAAGCTACTTTGGTATTTTCCAAAATTTAGTATGTGTACCACCAAGGGTATACCACACAATTCTAGATGGTATGTGTTTGAATTTTATTTTATTTTATGGACTGTGCACCTCTTTTAATTATTATTTTTAAAATGCATAAAAACAGCACAGTCAAGCTTATGATTGCTTAGGGTATGGCTCATTAAAAAAAGTTAACCAACTTAAATTCCATTGTTTTATGGACTGTGCACCTCTTTTAATTATTATTTTTAAAATGCATAAAAACAGCACAATCAAGCTTATGATTGCTTAGGGTATGGCTCATTAAAAAAAGTTAACCAACTTAAATTCCATTTAAAGACAAGTGTTAAGTGAATAAAAATATAGGTGGTACTCAGATGTGACATAAAACTCAAATGGCCAAAGCTCGGGCAATACTGGCCCATAATAATGTTGAATGTGTGTGTGTGTGTTTTTTTTGGGGGGAGGGGTGTGTCCCTTTATAGACTTTGATTTATCTAGGGTGGCTAATTGCACTGTGAATTATTTATTCAGTATGATGTTTTTCCTTATTCAAGATTAGACCTTTTGTGCATATGAAATAGCAGAGATGCAGACAGAATCTTAGTAAAATTTCAAGAGTTTGAGGGGAAATATAATCATCTAGTGTTAGATTTGGAAGAAGTACTAGTAATTGTTTTGACTCACCCTCCTATTTTACATGTGAGCAGACAGAAGTCCACGGAGGTTTACATAGGTTGCTGTATTTGTAGCTGTGGCTGCCGTAACAAAATACCATAGACTGGATGGCGTAAACAACAGAAATTTATTTATTTATTTATTATTATTATTTTTTTCCTTTTTGTCTTTTTTACTGAC